CCCTGCCCACCCACCCGAGTCAGCTTCTTCTGTGGTGTGTCGTGCGTGCCTCCCCTTGTCATGTGCTCGCTTCGCTTCTCCAAAATCCGTGGCCTCGTACCTCGCCTCACCGCCCCCCCTCCAGTGCCCTCCATCTAAGAGTTAGGGAGATCTTCGAGGGTGCCCCCCACTGCTGGCCCTGCACCCTCAGCTTTCCCAGAGCCCAGTACCATCTCTCCTAGTTACCCTTAGAAAGGACTCTTGTAGACCAGAGTGAGACCAGGGCCATAGCAGGCACCTACACCCAGGGCCTGGTGTTCTATCAAGCCAGCCAGGCTTCTCCTGCCCAGAGGCATGGGGTTCTTGCCCCAGCACCCCCACCCCACCCAAGGAAGCCCTGGGAAGCATCTACACACACTTCCTTTTGGGTCCCTTGATATTCCCTCATACCCTGGGGGCTCCCCTGCCCCCAGTTCTGCCTGTTGCCCCCTTATCCCTGTGTTGGTTCTCTTCAGTCCTTTCAGAAATTTTAATCTGCCGCCTCCACTGTTTTTGTTCCCTCATCTCCTGCCTCCTAATGGATATTTCTGATCAGATTTGTGGTAGAAACAGCTTCTTCCTGCCAGGAAATGGGCCTGTTCAAACCCCACGGCAGTCCCAGTTGGCTCATACACTTGACTCCATCACGCCCCTTCTCCAGCCCCAGTTTCCCCATTTGACACACCAAGCCCCTGCCATTCTTCCTTCACCTGGGAGACCGGGCGGCTCCTCCCTCACCCACAGCCTACCAAGCGTAGCCCACCAGGCACACAGCCCCACTGGCCCTGAAGCAGCTCCTTGGTTCTGCACCTTGGGTTTTGCATCTGGTCTCTGAGGAGGAGGCTGCATGGAGGGAGGGGACGGGGACTTGGGTGGGCAGGTGGGCAGGGGGCACACATTTGATCTGCTGCCACGGCCCCTCTGGTGAGTTATAGTGCATCCATGACTCCAGCTGACTGGTCTTCGTCTAACCTGCTTATTTTTCTGCAAACACCTGGGATGGGGGTGTATAAGTCTGGCAGAGCTCCAGGAGAATGTGGATTGCAGGGTGGGGGTGGGGGGCTCTATCACGGGTATGACAAGGGAGGGGGGCCTCTGTGTCCCCGGCCCCCTAGAGGTGGGGTCCTCAGCATGTGCTTCCTTCCTTTGGGAGGGGATCCAGCCTCCCAATCTTTGCCTGGGTCTCAGATGCTCCAGAATTGAATTTAAAAAAAGAATCGTGGAAGGCAAATGTAGATCTTGTTTGTCAAGGAAGGAGTGGAGGAAAGGAAAAAGGTCATTGCTGTTCTTTTTTATTTTTTAATTTTAATTTTTTTTTTTGGTTTAAAGAAAAAAACGACAACAAACTATTGCAGCTTTTAGCCTTGGGAAGTCCTCTTTTTACTCTCTGTATCTCCCCTATTTTTTCTCTTCTCCCCATGTCATTGTGTTCTGCATCAAACCCCCTTTACATCCCTCAGAGCTTCGAGAAGGTTGGTGTGTTTTTTTCTTTTTTACTTTCTTTACCCACATTTTTACATTCTGAAAGTGACACGCACACGCACGAAATACACACAGACACGCACATGGACACACACAGACACGCACATGGAAAATGATGGAAAAATCAACTAAAAAAATTAAACTAACGGAATACGAATAATAAGCGCAAAGCAAACAAAACAAAACAAAACAAAACCGCCAAGCGAGAGCAAAAACCCAGAAAGACACGAAAATCTCAGCCGCGCCCAGCCCGGCCTAGGGCAGGCCGCACACATGCGATGCTTGCATTGTGGTCGCCTCTATGCATCCTGTTGGTAATGTTGTTGCTAAGTTTTTTGCACTCCTCGTCGTCATGGTAACTTGGGCCTGATGCATGCTGGGAGAATGTAAAAATTTCTCTGCATGCCACTCTTGTCGGTTCGGTTTGGTGAATTCCCGACACCTTCTGTTGGAGTGTTTCTCGTCTTCTGTTCCGTTTTTCTCTTTTGGTTTTCTTCATTTTTCTTTCTTTCTTCCTTTTATTTAATGATGAGTTTTTTTGTTTTGTTTTGTTTCATTTTGGGGGCAAAAAACCGATCAGTTCGTTATTTTTTCCCCCTCCCATTCCCTTTCCCCGGCCCCCTCCTCCTCCAAAGCGTTTTTGTCTTTGGCTCTGTCGTGTGTCTGTGCTATTTGATTTCGGTTTCTTGGGCTGAGCTGCTCTGTGGTTGTTCTCCAAACGCATTGTGATTTAAAAGCCAGTGTTCCTGTCCCAGCTACCGTCCCGGAGGGCGGAAGTCCCACAGCTGGGATGCTGCGGCAGAAAGTGACCGCCGAGTGCAAGGGAGGGGGCTAGACAGGTGGTGGGAGGTGTCGTGGCCCAGGTGGGGGGTGGGAGGAGCAGCCGGGTTTACCTGACCTCCCTTGGCCAGCCCGTTTGCCCAGATCTGGTGCGGCGGCCCTGCCAGGCAGCGGTGTTGGAAGCGGACTTAAGCAATTCCCGTTCTGCTTCAGCATGAGGCCACCTCACCCTCCCAAACAGCCCCAGAAAGCGGCGTTTGAAACGCAGCCAAATGGGCAGTCGGCATCTCGAGGCCTTGTTCAATATAGTGACAAGTCGAAGTGCGGGAAGCGGTCACCCGAAACTGGACCATCCTCCCCAAATGATGCATGCCTGACCCACAGGCAGCATTCAGAATGGCAGCTGGTGTGACGACTTTGTGGGGCCTGGTTGGGCACAAACATGGAACCGCCCATCAGAAAGCGCAGCCTGACAGACTTTGGAAGAAGGACAGCCAGTCATCCTGCTCTTTAGTGTTATGCCCTCGCCTCCCAGGCAGTGTGGCTGATTCCCCCACCCCCTCGCAAGCTCCGGGTCTAGTCACAGGTGTCTTTTGCCCAGTAGTACAGCACGGTCACTTTCTGAGAACCTGAGCATCGGAACTGTGGGATTCTGGAGAAAACCCAAGGGAACTTTGGACACAGCCTCTCCACCCCTCCGCCCCTCTCTCTGCCTCCCCGATTCTCTCTGCCTTTCTCTCTCTTTCAGCTCTCTTTCTCTCTCTGTCTCTCACTCTTGCAGACCTTCAGAGATGCATGCTCCCATCATTTGCTCCCTCCCTTGAATAAAGGCAAGCCCTTGAGAGTCCCACTCAAACCTCCAAACCAGTCTCCAGTAAAATCCATTTAGATTTCTAATCCCCAGCCCCCAGCCACTACCCAACATAGATGGTAACTGAGGGCAGAGGCCAGCCTCTTTGGGGGTCACCTTTCCCCCTATTATTCCTTACCTGCCTTTGATAAATTCCCAATTATTAAGCCTAGGGCCAAGTTGGCAAGAGGAGTTTAGATGCAAAAAGAGGGGGTGTATTTCTCTTGCCTCCTTTTTAATCCAGCATGAGAGCTCTCAGGCTGACCTTCATGGAAGTCCCAAAAGATGGAAGAGAGGGCTCTCCCAGCCTCTACTAAAGTTGAGTCCCAGTGAATTGGAGCTGAGGGAGCTGAGGATCTCTGAAGACCACTTGGACTTTGGGGGCAGTATTGCCTACTGGTGAGAGCACAGACTCTGTGCTCCAACAGACCAGGGTTCAAATCCTGCCTCTGTTCTTTGACTCTGTAGCTTTGGGCTAGTCACCATTTCCTCGTCTAAACAATAAGGATCATTAATATGCCTATTTCCCAGGGTAGTTGGGAGGAGTCCATCAAGTTCATTAACGATCCTCAAGTGCCCTGTATAGTACATGGAACAAAAGAAAGTGCAAGTGGGATTGTAGAACAGGGAAGTTCAAGCAAATGATTTGGACTAGTCACCATCCATTGTTTGGGGACCTCAGTTTCCCTGTTATGTACTTCACAGATCCACTGTTTGAATAATATGGCTTATGGGAAACTGCTTTGAAAGGGCAGAGGCTAATTCATTTGCTCAGATCTCATTTTTTGCTAGTGCCTTTCTGAGGCACTGGTCGCATTTTCTCCTGCCTCCAAACCCATTCCTGTGAGATCAGTGGCCTCCCCAGAGCCACGCCTCTCATCTCACGCCCTGTCACTCCCCTAGGCAGTTCTGTGGCCACAGTATCAGAAGGGGGCAAAAAAAGGCCCAGCTTGGGTGCTAAGCTACCCTTGCAGATAAGTGCCAGCCCACCAGAAGAGATGGGCCACCTGGCATGTTCTGCCCTCAGAACTACAAGCGTTTACATTGTTGCCAGAGCATCCAGTCCTGGGAGTTAATTGCAAGGAATTTCCACCTCAAATGTAACTCTTCTTCAGTTCACAATCTCCAGGGTTGTTTAGGGGGTGGAATATTCAGACCTATCACTCTCTTCCTGAACTTTATCTCAGATCCAAAGGACCGAAGTAAAAACCAAGCCCATTTTTAAATGCAGCTGGCAGCTACACTCCCAGAACTCCCTTGGGTAAGATGAAGCTAAAGCTTTTGACAAGATGGGAAGATGGTCAGATTATATGCTCCTGGGCTGTTAATGTTCTTCTTTGTCTCTTTAAAATTGTAAGGTACAAGTTAGTGGCAAAAGGTGGTATCTTTACCACTTGGTCTAGCAAATTAGCATTATTGAACCACAATGCACAGGACCCAGTTAAATGATGTGCCACATGCTTCTATTGTGGGAATGTGCAGGGAGAATTCAGAGCAAGCTGGAG